AATTTTACCACAAAGTTAATTAAAGAGGAATGATGTTACCTCGGTATGAGATGTCAGACTTCCACATTAGTGAGATGGGAGACATATGTAAATATTTGAAGCTGTAAAAATTTTTAAAGTGAAAGTTTCAACAAGTTGGAAGCACATAGTTAAATAACAAAATTCTAGACTTACTCATCATTTCTGTCAACCTGTTCAAATCGTAATTTATCTATGAAAATCTCAAGCACTTTCAATGGGCTGGACCTATCTGCAGCACTCATCATCTTGGATACATCTGTAATTAAAAATATTTGAAGGATAAAATTTTGACATCATGGGAAACTGAAAGCAACTATGATATGCTCACCATTCCACTTATGGACAAATGTAGTCGGATTTCCTATCCCACGTTTTTCAATTTCATCGTACAGCTTGAAAAGGGCACAGCACATGCACAGTAGGGACTTGCATGATTCTCTATGTTCGAGGTCGTCGAGAATGAAGTCAACCATTGCGGAACAGTGGAGGAGTGCCTGTAGAGAGGAACATTTAATAAAATGCCAGCACTGATATAGATAAGAAAGAGAACTACATGTTTATTTGCATAAACTCACCTGAACAGCAGCAAGAACATGAGGTGCATTCCTGGTATTTGTGAGACCCCCATCAATGTGTTTCGGCATGTTGACTGTTTGCAACCGAGCTGAAACAGTACAGGTGTGAAAAGCAAAAATAGGGCAAGCATGAGAAAATGTAAGTTACAGTATTTAAGAGACGCTCCATACATGTCATGGCATAGAACCAGTGAGTAAGCAGTAAAAAGGATAAGTTCAAAAAAGTTCCGAGATGCAAGTTGGGAACGATGACACTAAGACTCAAAACTGAATGAAACAATGACTTTTTTCGACAAAATATCTTAAATGGATGGTTTAATTTATTAAATTCATTGATATAAGGAGTTGCCAATGCGTGTGTTCAATGTAATAAGAAAAAGAGAGACCGGGTTGTAGGGGTTATGTCACTCCCGGTCCCCATATTTGACCATACAAGCGTATTTCAGACATGTTTCACTTCAAATTTTAATCGAAAACATCTCTTAATTCCTTACCAATGAAATCAGTAGAAATTTTTCTTCAAGAAAATATATATATATGTCACAATATCTCTTCGTTTACACTAATAACACAGAACTACGCCGCTCGCTACACCCGCACCCCGATTTCTCATACCCGCCGGAAGCCAAGCAGCAGATCCGACCGTATCCGGATCCGGTTTTGTGCTTCTTTACTTCTTCTTTTCCAACCAGCGGAATGGCCTATTGCGTCCAAATCCCCGCCGTATCATCCGGAGTCAAATGGACAAGCAGAGATTGTTGTCAAGATAGCAAAGAAGATTTTGAAGAAGTTAGCCATTTCAAACTCCAGTGAAGATTTGTCCACCAAAGTGGTAAATATGTTGATAAATTATAGGTCAACACCCTCAGTTACGGGGTTGTCACCTGCAGAAGTAATGTTGACATTTGTGCCACGGCACAAGTTAACATTGTTGTCGCCGAGATCCCAAGCCAATGCATACAGACCAACGGCTCAAGTATTTTTACCGGGAGAGAGAGTCAAGATCAAAATGTCGAAGGATGTAACTGCCAAGATCGGAAGAATCATAAAGCAGCTAGGAGTGTCTGTATATGTTGTGGACTTGGAAGGGACACCAACTTTGTGTCACTTAAATCAGCTATCAACAAGTGTACCAAATCCCAACGAGATTGTCCCAGAGAAGACGCCAAGTTCCTCTGTCAGCACGGAAACGCAACTACAAAATCAAGAGGGTCCTTCACTTCAGACAGTGCGCCCACCTGAAGAGCGTCGTTCAAACCGCGTCAACAAGGGAACGCCGGCACCAAGACTAAACCTTAAGATTTTTCATCAGTAGTGTTTGAAAAAGACTTGTTGAAGTAAAGTTGTTGTTAGAAGATGTTTTGGTTTAAAAGACTTAATTGTCACTAGTCGAAGTGCCATTGTAATTCTTAATTGATCTCGATTGTGATGTGATGTGTAAAATTAAAAATGATAAGTTCTAGGATTTTAATAATTTTGTGAGAATTGAAAATGTTAATGCCTAGTAGTTAAAATAAATAATTTAGGAACTAGTACTGTTAACTATTGTTGTGCACCCGGAGGGTATTGTGTATTTTGTATTTGTATGTTCAAGTTGGTACTGGTAGTCGTCTTTTGTCAAGTAGTGCCTGTCGATTATTTGCAGTTGTGTGTGTCGTCTTTTGTTGACTTTGAATAAACGTCAGTTCAGTATGGTTCCTGAAGCCCAATGGTGTTGTTCGTTCACCCCTCTGAATTTCCTTCAAGATTTACATAGTAGAAGTATTACCAGAAGATTATAAGTCAAAGACTTAAGTATTGAGAGATATAATAGAAGGGAAAAAAATCACCTTTTTTTAAAATGTTAAAATTTGAAAACTCATACACTGTTAAAAACAATCGCAAATTTACGACATTTTGAAGAACAATTATGTCGTTTTTAAACGACATGTTTTGTTACGACTCAAGTCGTAAATACACGACTTGGGTCGTAAATGTACGACATATTTTGTCGCTAATTTTGATAGCGGAACGATTCTCACGTTTCGGGGTAGTTTTGGCGTTTCTGATTTGCCGAAAGTGAGGAATATCCAATTAAGTTTTTCTGATTATTGGGGTCCTGGATGATACTAGAGTTATGGCAATGGTATTTATAGTAAAGACCTTGTACTTCCTTCCTAATAACATGAGCCATAAGGTATTCCCATACGTTTAAGTGGGTGTTTTGATCACGGAAATTACGTTATCACGGAAGTTACAAAGTGTGAAAATCGGCTTTAACGGCTGACTCGGGCTTGCTGTGGCTTAAAAGTCGTTTCAGGGTCAAATGATACTCTAAGCCTGACATTTAAGTGGAAAATTTTTTCACTTAGTGCTGCTGCAACATTGGGTAAAGGGTGCCACGGAAGTTACAGGTAATTGTTGATACACGCCATTTTATAATGCTCTAGCCCGCTTTGAGACCGTGTACAGCATCTTAGATTTCCGCGACCCATGCAATTATATCCCAGGGACTCCACTTTGATGGCTTGTGTCATGGAAAGTTAAAAGTTTGGCTTGGGGAGAAGTCCAGAGCTGCCTTTTCGAAATTTGTGTAGTGAAATTGAATATAGGGTGGACATTTTTCGTTGCAGCATAAGTACCTTTGAAAGAAGTCTGGCGTATTGGTCTTCGGTTGAAATTAGCTCGAGACATGCCAAGCTTCGAATCCCCATCGACAGTTGGCAGCATTTTCGAACCACACGGCCACACTGAGGGCGGAAAGTTCGAGTATGTTCTCTTTGGACAATCACGGAAGTTACATTTAGGGTATTCCAAACGCTGCGTAGACCAATCCAACGAACGTGAACTTTTCGAAATGTGTCCGTTTAGTGGGCAATGGCCCTCCCTAACATCAGAAACAAACCCCATGTCTATATCTGCGCTCGTTTGGGCACAGTAGTCAGAAGAAACGAAACTACCCCGAAACGTGAGAATCGCTCACGACCGACATACCACTCCTTACTTTTGGCAATAATTTTCCATTGCATTTTCTCTGCAGGGGTTACTTCAAAATTGTAATACTTCTGTTTCACAACTTTGCTTTGATTTTTAATATGCATTGCATTGTTAGGTAAGCCAACATTGCAATAACAGTGGTTGTTGTTTGAATGACAGCCTGCAGTGAGCCTAGGACAGTTGATATAAATGTTATTTATTCGTGATAGCGTTGTCCATCGTTTTTGAGTCTTGAGGAAAGTGCCATCCATATTGCCATCAAGTGACAATGAATTTTTTCAGTGGAGACAAGCGCCGATCCTCAGAGATAAGTGGGAGTGGCGCGCGCTCTGGCGGAGGGCGGCACTCTGCGTGAGTCAGTGGGGCGACGCCGAGTGTGGCACGCGTGACTTTGGTCCAAAAAAAAAATAACATCTCGTGATAGGAACATGCCACTTTGCACAGCTTTTCCTCGAAACATTACAAGCGTTTCACAATTATGGGTGATATATTGTCACTTTTAAACAAGGTAGGTTTACGCCAGACCGCGTCTTGTCGTAACAGGCTTCGCGATGTCTCGCTGCCTGTTCCTCCAATCCACGCCTGGCGTACCTACCTTGGCCTGCGGCGCTAGCCTGCCTGCGGCAGGCAATGGCTTGTCCATTGTCGGTTATTTTTTGGCCCGTCCCGTTTATTTTTTGTAAAAAAATGACGGAGGGACGGGCATATAGTATGATCCTTGCTGTGCGTCCGTTCGTTCGTCCGTCCGTCCGTCCGTCCGTCCGTCCGTCCGAGGACTTCCCGTGGTCCGATCTTGACCAAATTTGGTATGCAGCCTCCTTGGGTGACCCTAAGAACCGCCCGGTGGCAGCAAATCCGGTCCGAGCCCCGGGGACGCTGCTGCAGGTGCACCATGGTCTACATGGGGTCGAGGAGGATCTCGGCAACGGATGCAGCTAGGAGGGCATGTAGGGGTATTTTTGGAATCGGGGCGACGAGAGAAAACCAATGGTACCAGTTTCGAGCGAATCGGAGAAGTTCGGACCCGGGTTCAAATCCCAGCGGGGTATTTTTGGAACATTCTTTTTATTCGAGTTTTTGCATTGTTTCTGATGTTTTTGAGGTTGCTGATGACGAAAACGACATTTATTTAAACCCCAGACTCAGGTTTAATTCCCGTAAGGGTCAAACATAGGCAAAATTCGTACGTTTCTTAATGTAACACGGGACGGGCCAAAGTTGCCGATGTATATCGCTACTTTTCCTGTTATTAACTTGTTGAATGGTGGGGGGCTCCGCCCCCAGACCCCCCTGTATTCTAAAAAGAGTTGTTTTATCTATAGATAACACGATCTTGACCCTTGTCACTTTTTAACTTGTCGAGGCTGGGGGGCCCCGCCCCCCAGACCCCCCTTTCTCCAAGCCGGAAGTGATCTTTCTGCAGAAAGCTCTATTTTTCGCCGTTTTTTAGGTGTTTTTCGGCTATAAAAACTGAACCAGTAGAGCTAGGATGGTGAAATTTCGCGTGTGCCGAGCCAAGGACATACCCAAGAAGTGTGCAAAATCTCACCGAGATCGGCTAAGCCGTTCAGGAGGAGTAGTGCACACAGACAGACAGACAGACAGACAGACATGAGAAACTTTTCAACCCCACTGGAGTAACAGGCTTCGCTATCGCTCAGCCAATGACGAAACTTAAGGACGCTTTCTATCGAAGCTCATAAACTCGTTTCCATGGGCGTGACAACTTTGTGACCTAATGTTTTGAAAGAAATTTACATTCAATGTCATCAAGTGACAACCAAAATTTTAACGTAGGTGCTGCTTTTTCAATGTGCTCCATGTAGAAGGGCTCAACACTCTAAATGTCTTACAATGAAATTTGACCTACGTTATTCGTATGATACAGCGAATTCGGCGCAAGCATAATACGAAGCAATATTCCTTCGTAATACGAATCTTTTTAGCTTTTTCATTTTAAGATATAAAGAAAAACCTTCGTAATGCGAAGAAAAAACCACCTTCGTATTATGCTTGCGCCATTTCCTTCGTAATATGGGAAATTTCTTCGTAAGACATTTACAGTGAACCCCTTTTGTGCAAATGGAACTTCTCTGAACACACCATCAAATGTACAACGAAACCAAACTGCAAGGCATAC